TTACAGACCAATCTCAGTCATGAACATTGATGCAAAAATACTAAATAAAATACTACCAAATTAAATACAAGAACACATCAGAACCATCATCCACCATGACCAACTTGGCTTTCTCCCACAGATGCAGGGATGGTTCAACATACAAAATCTGTCAACGTAATCCCTCATACAAACAAGCTGAAAAATAAAAACCACATGATCGGGCTGGCAAGATGGCTCAGAGGATAAGAGCACTGGCTGCTCTTCCAGAGGTCCTGAGTTCTATTCCCAGCAACCACATGGTGGCTCACAACCATCTGTAATGATATCTGGTGCCCTCTTCTGGCCCACAGGGATACATGCAGGCAGAATATTGTGTATATCATAAATAAATAAATATTTTTTTTTTTAAAAAAAAAACATGATCATCTTATTAGATGCCAAAAAAGCATTTGAAAAAAATACAACATCCCTTCATGATAAAGTTCTTGGAGAGAGCAGGGATACAAGGAACATACCTAAACATAATTAAGGCAATATACAGCAAATCAACAGCCAACATCAAACCAAATGGAGAGAAACTCCCAGCGATTCCACTGAAATCAGAAACAAGGTAAGGTTGTCCACTCTCTCCATATCTATACAATGTAGTTCTTGAGGTCCTAGCTAGAGCAATAAGACACCAAAGGGAGATCAAGGGGATACTGATGTGGGAGTGTCATATCAATCTGTTGATTTCATTGGCTGAGCAATAAAGAAACTGCTTGGCTGGCCCTGATAGGTTAGAACATAGGTGGGAGGAATACACAGAATAGGATGCTGGGCGGAAGAGGAAGTGAGGTCAGACTCTGCGCTGCTTCCAGAGGGACCGGACAGCCGCCATGCTCTGCTCTCCCAGGCAGCTGCAACCCACGATGGACTTAGGCTAGAATCTTCCCGGTAAGAGCACCTTGGGGTGCTTACACACATCATTAGAAATGGGCTAGTCCAGGTGCGAGAATTAGCCTGTAAGGGTTAGAGTTCATGGGCCAAGCAGTTCTTCAATGAATACAGTTTGTGTGTTGTTATTTCGGGCATGAGCTAGCCAAGCGGCCGGTGTGTTGGGGACGCAGCCCCGCCGCTCCTATTTCAACAGATGGCGCCCAGACGTGTGGCCAACTGAATCCACAGAAAGCCTGAAAAAGCTTGGGAAAGAGTAAAGCATGTTTTCTTGGTAGCAGCAGTTTCTCGGGTCTCCTCTGCTTGTTAGAAGCAAGCAAGCACTCTCATCTAAGAGAGGCTTCCTGACTCAGCTTCAGCTGCAAAACCCTGCAGCTCATTAAGAGGTCCTGCCACAACACACTTAAACGGTGTTGACGAAAAGCTGAACGCATGCTTTTCGGTTTTCAGTCATAGCAGGAAAAAAGTTGTGCTGTTTTAAAATGCCGGATTTCTGGGCCGTCCTGCCAGGGCAAACTCTGACTGAGGCAGGAGAGCTGACTACCTAGAGAGGACTTGACTGTTGTCTATTGTAGCTCGCTGGCTGGCAGGGACCTTGAAATGCCATAGAGTTGTGGCAGTAAACATGGCTACATCCTATATTTCCACCATGAGGCTGGAAAGCTAAGGAATGGACTGGATCTACCTGGCAAAGCCACGGCTTTAATCCTACTCATATTGCTCAGTACATTAAAGACTCATGTGGTCAGAAAAACAGAGAGAGATACAGTAAAGAGGGCGTCAAAGACAAAGAAAAAGTTTAAATGATTTACAGTGTTAAAAATGTATGCAGACTAAAAGTTAAAATTCTTAAAAAAAAAAAAAGTAAGAAAAAGAGAAGTTGTGTGTGGTAGTACACGCCTTTAATCCCAACACTTGGGAGGCAGAGGGAGATTGACCTCTGTGACTTCAAGGTGTGGTAGCACACGCCTTTAATCCCAGTGCCTAGAAGGCAGAGACAAACAGATCTCTGTGAGTTCAAGGTGTGGTAGCAAACACCTTTAATCCCAATGCCTGGGAGGCAGAGACAGGCGGATCTCTGAGAGTTCAAGGAGAGCCTGGTCTACAGAGTTATTCCAGGTCAAAGAGATACAGAGAATATAAAATAAAAGTAAAAATAAACGAAATAGAGGTTAAAATAAAGCGTACAAAGATGGAAAATACACAGAGAATCTTGATACTGTATACTATTATGCTCTCTTTGAATTGTTTGAATGCTGAGGAAGGAGCAACAGCTGCTAAAAGATATTTGTTTATAAATGCTGCTGAACTAATCCATCGTAGAGATTTTGATGCCTTGACTTTGAAATTTGGATCTAAGGACATGATACTTTGGAAAGGAGTTTCTTATTTTGTTTTCACAGAGGATGAGACCCTGTTCATTTCTTCTATTCCGATATGGTATGATGGACCACGCCCTCCTGAACGGTTGCTGTGAATACCTTCAGAAAATTGCTTCGCTCAACTGCCAACTGAGATGAAACTAGCACACAGGTTATACCATGAAAGACCTAATTAACGACGCCCCCATTCAGCAGGAAGCAGTTTGGAGAGAAAAAACTGCGCCCATGTTCCCAAATATTGTTTATAAATGTTCTTTTACATTTAAAGGGGGAGATGATATAGGTATGAATAATTTACATTGATATGGATTTTGCTTTAGTGATTTAAATTTAAGGTTAATTTTGTAATGTATATAGGTTGTTAATGAATAATCATTAATAATAGTTAAGTTTGTAGTCATGTTAGTTAAGATTTTCTAGATGTGCATAGATATATTTTAGATAGGCATTCTTCATATTTTTCAAAGATTATAGAATATGGCATTTTAAATGTTTTAATAACTTAGGACTTTTCATGACAATGAGACACTCTGCTCCTGGCAGCACCAATCTACTTCAAGAGGAAGATGGGCATCGAAGAGGATCCTTATGGAGTTTGATAGCCATTTGGGCAAGAAACTGCTCTTGCCTGGACTATTGCATAAACTGGACACAGAGAACCCGCAGAGAGAGGACTGCTGAACTTGCCTAAAGGTGAGATGATCTTTCGGGGTTCCTGATTCATGAAAGAGTCTGCAAGACATTCTTCAGGACAAGCAGATAGTGACTGCCTTTGAAATTTCCTGCTTTGTGGAAATGTCTGCTGGAAACTATGGGCCTGTAGGCCGAAGATGGATGCCCCAACGGTACAGAGGAACTTTGGGTGACTGTCCAGGCAGCGAGATGTCTCTGTCATTTCTAGAGTTTGAAAGTTGCTTATTTCTTGTTTGCTTAGGTAATATTGTATCTTTCTGGACTCTTTGATGGAGTTAAGAATAGTTAGCTATAGTTATAGTTTTCCTTAGTTATGATATAGATTATTGTAATTTTTACTTGATAACTGTTTTGTTATACGTAATTTTGCTATGTTAAAGTTAAAGCCTTCCTTTTTTTTGTTTAAACAGAAAAAGGGGAAGTGATGTGGGAGTGTCATGTCAATCTGTTGATTTCATTGGCTGAGCAATAAAGAAACTGCTTGGCTGGCCCTGATAGGTTAGAACATAGGTGGGAGGAATAAACAGAATAGGATGCTGGGCGGAAGAGGAAGTGAGGTCAGACTCTGCGCTGCTTCCAGAGGGACCGGACAGCCGCCATGCTCTGCTCTCCCAGGCAGCTGCAACCCACGATGGACTTAGGCTAGAATCTTCCCGGTAAGCGCACCTTGGGGTGCTTACACACATCATTAGAAATGGGCTAGTCCAGGTGCGAGAATTAGCCTGTAAGGGTTAGAGTTCATGGGCCAAGCAGTTCTTCAATGAATACAGTTTGTGTGTTGTTATTTCGGGCATGAGCTAGCCAAGCGGCCGGGGTGTTGGGGACGCAGCCCCGCAGCTCTTAATTCAACAGGATACAAATTGGAAAAGAAGAAGTCAAACTCTCACTGCTAGCTGATGATATGATAGTTTACATAAGTGATCCCAAAAATTCTACCAAGGAACTTCTACAACTCATAAACACTTTCAGCAATGTAGCAGGATACAAGATTAACTCAAAAAATTCAGTAGCCCTCTTGTACACAGATGATGAAAGGTCTGGGGAAGAAATCAGAGAATCAACACCCTTCACAATAGCCACAAATAGCATAAAATATCTTGGAATAACTCTAACCAAACAGTGGAAGATTTGTATGACATGAACTTTAAATCTTTGAAGAAAGAAATTGAAGAAGACATCAGAAAATGGAGAGATCTCCCACACTCTTGGGTAGGCAGAAATAACATAGTAAAAATGGCAATTCTACCGAAAACAATCTACAGCAAAATTCTTCAAAGACCTCAAAAGAACGGTACTCAACTTCATATGAAAAAGCAAAAAACCCAGTATAGCCAAAACAAACCTGTACAGTAAAAGAACTCTTGTAGGCATCACAATCCCTGACTTCAGACTCTACTACAGGGTTACAGTACTGAAAACAGCCTGGTATTGGCATAAGAACAGACAGGAGGACCAATGGAACAGAATAGAAAGTCCGGATATCAATCCACACATCTCCAAACACCTGATTTTGATAAAGAAGCAAAAAATATCAAATGGAAAAAAGAAAGAATATTTAACAAGTGGTGCTGGCATAACTGGATATCAACATGTACAAGAATAAAAATAGACCCATATCTATCACCATGCACAAAATCAAGTCCAAATGTATCAAAGACTTCAACATAAAGCTAGCCACACTGAACCTCATAGAAGATAAGTGGAAAGTACACTTGAACACATTGGCACAGTGAACCACTTCCTAAATAGAACCCCAAGCAGCACAGACACTGAGAGAAACAATTAATAAATGGGACCTCCTGAGACTGAAAAGCTTCTGTAAAGCAAAGGACATGGTCAACAAGACAAAATGACAGCCTACAGAATGGGAAAAGATCTTCACTAACCCCACATCAGGGAGAGGTCTGATCTCCAAAATATACGAAGAACTCAAGAAATTGGACACCAAAAGATCACATAATCCAATAAAAAAAATGGAGTTTTCCAGCCAGTATAGTGCAAGCACACATGCCAGAGTGTGGGATACCTGCCGAAGAAGCTGTGGGCAGCAAGCACAGCCCTCTTGTGGTGCTGCTGAAAAATAGAGGTGGGGTATGGTTAGTGGAAGGCCATTGAGGGTGTGCTTTGAAAGAGATAGTGGTACCCCAAGCCCTGTCTTCTCTCACTCTCTTTTTCACTTCCTGACACCGCAGGATGGAAGCAGTTTTGTTCAGCCAAGCACTCCTCACTACTTTTGGTCTTTCTGAAGATCCAAAACAACAGAGCAAATGACCCTTTGAAAACACAGTCTGTGTGCTGGGGATATAGCTCAGTTGGCATTGTTTTCCTGCTACATGCAATGCCCTAAATTCAACCCACAGCCCTGCATAGATCAAGTATGATGGTGTAAACCAGCACTAAGGAAGTAGAAGCAGAAGGATCAAAAGTTCAAGGTCATCTGTGCTACACAGTAAATCTGATACATAGGGAGTTCTAAGCTATTCTGGGATATATAAACACTTGTTTCAAAAAGAAAGGGGGCTAAAAATGGTTTGGTGGTTAAAAGTACTAACTATTCTTCAGAAGACCTAAGTTCAATCCCCAGGACCCACATAGCATCTATAAAGCATTTGTAACTCCAATTTTTAGGAGCTCCAGCCCCCTTTCCCGTGTCTTTAAGCACTGTACAGACATATATACAGGTAAGACACCCATATGCACACAAAGTAAATCTCAAAAACAAAAAAACAATTTCTATGACCCAAAACAAGTGTTTTAAACTTTTAAATTGTTTTTCTTGGTGACAGAAAGTCAACTCTCTGACTTTAGAGTTAATTGGAGGCTTTTTAAAAGACTGATTAAGCTGGAACCAGCTATTCTCTCTCTGACTCTTTTTTTCTTTTTCTTATTTACTTGTTTGTTTGTTTGTTTGTTTGTTTATTGGTTTTTCGAGACAGGGTTTCTCTGTGACTTTTGGAGCCTGTCCTGGAACTAGCTCTTGTAGACCAGGCTGGCCTCGAACTCACAAAGATCTGCTTGCCTCTGCCTCATAGTGCTGGGATTAAAAGTGTGTTCCACCACCGCCCGGCTGATTCATTTTTCTTTAGATGCTACTGTGTGTGTTGTTGGCCACACTTCTTAGAAGTTGCTCTGACTCTGAGGGTGACCCAATTTGCCAATCATTCTTATTGTTTTGTTCTTCAAACTCATTTATATAATTTAAACTTCTTTTTCCTTTCAACAGAACTTAAATTTCAGCTGGTCACCAAAGACAGATAATAACCCATATTTTTTTTTTAAAAAATGGTCCCCAACTTGTTCAGACATCTCACTTGGAGTGGGGGATTGTCCATTGTATACAAGATCACCACTATGCTTATCTTGGTGAGAAATAGGACAGCAACTTTGTGTTCTTTAAAATCAAACTTCAAACCACCAGCTCTGCCTCAGTATCTGTGTTGGGGAGAGCGGAGACAGGCTAACCCCGGCAGCCAAGGTGTTGGAGCAGCTCACAGGCCAGACACCTGTCTTTTCCAAAGCAAAGTACACCATCAGGCCCTTCGTCATCAGGAGAAAGGAGAAGATTGCTGTTCACTGCACTGTCCATGGAGTCAAGGCAGAAGAAATTCTGGAGAAAGGCCTGAAGGTGCGGGAGGATGAGTTTCGGAAAAATAACTTCTCTACTGGGAACTTCAGCTTTGGGATTCAACAACACATTGACCTGGGCATCAGATATGATCCAAGCATTGGGATCTACGGCCTGGACTTCTATGTGGTGCTGGGCAGGCCAGATTTCAGAATTGCAGACAAGAAGTGCAGGACAGGCTGCATTGGGATCAAACACAGAATCAGCAAAGAGGAAGCCATGAGCTGGTTCCCGCAGAAGTATGATGGGATCATCCTTCCTGGCTGTTGTATGAGCTGTGGTGGGCTGCATTCTGGCCCCCGGCTCCCGCATGGCTAGCTTATGCCCCAAAATAATTACACAGAAACTGTATTCTTTTAAAAACACTGCTTGGCCCATTAGTTTTAACCTCTTATTGGCTAGCTTTTACATATTGATCTAACCCATTTCTAATATTCCGTGTAGTACCACGAGCTGGCTTACCAGGAAAGATCTTAGCCTGCGTCTGTCTGGAGTGGGAGAATCATGGCGACTGCCTAACTCAGCTTCTTTCTCCCAGCATTCTGTTCTGTTTACTTTGCCTACCTAATTTTCTGTCCTATCAAAGGGCCATGGCAGTTTCTTTATTTAACCAATGAAATCAACTCAAAACAGAAGACTCCCACATCACCTGGCAAATAAATTGTATCCAAAAGGCCAATAAAAATTTTTCTCAGAAAAAAAAAATCACAAGGCATTGAGTTCCCTGTAATTACAGAAAGTTGTGAACTACCATGAAGGTGCTGGGAACTAAGTCTCGGTCCTCTGCAAAAACAAGTGTTCTTAGTATTGAGCCATCTCTCCAACTCCCTTGCTAAATCTTTATTTGTGAATGTATGCACAGTGCCTGGGCTCGCAGCCCAGCACCACAACCGTGAGATGTCAGACACGTTGTGACACATATTTGCAGTCCTAGGGAAGAAGACAAAGAACCTCAGTTTGGGCCAGAAAGATGGCTCAGCTGGTTCAGCCACTTGCCCTAAAGACCCAAGGTTTGATCTTCAAAACCCACAGAGTCCAAGAAGATGTACCCACAAATTGTCCTTGGATCTCCATGAACGAATGGACCACTTGTTTCTTCAAAGGCTTGGACTGTGTTACTGCAGAGTTGTTCGTGGATCATTAGCCATAGTGACACTGTTACTCGGACCAAATTTGTCCCGACAGCCTGAGAGCCGCTGCAGTTGTCGCTGTTCTGGGACATTCAGCTGCTATTCTGGGAACAGCGAGGAATAGTTACAGTCATTCATCTGCCTCTGCACACCAGGAACAGCCAAAGACAGAGGACACTGGCTTTCTCGCGTCTCAGGTCAATCACCCTTATAAAACTGCGCACACATAGGGGGAGGAGTAAAGTCTGTTGGTTTGAAGTTGAAAGAAGATCCAGTTCCACTGGTACCTTGATAGCACACAGCTCCACGTGATCTCCCTCTATTGCTTTGGACCATAGCATTCACCAGAAGCTTCCTGGGGCGCCAAAGAATAGATAGGGAGACTCAGTGGTGCCACCTGGTCATAAGAGCCTTGCTCAACGCTGTAATTGGGAGCTTGCACCTGGGTATCTTGGTGTCCGGTAAGTATGTAGTCTTGGCTCTTGTGCATTCTCTTGGTGTCAAAACTTTTGTCTCTAAATTTTGATAGCCTTGCTCTTCTATTCTGAAACCAGTTCTAAAGAGAAAAAGGAAATTGTTAATCAAATCTGCTTTCTAGCAGTGCCCCACAGTGTTCTTTTCCTTTTCCTTTTTTCCCTTTGTTTTGACACAGGGTCTCCCTATTATGTAGATCTGGCTGTCCTGGAACTCCCTATGCCTCAAACTCAGAGATCCATCAACAGAGCAATGGGAGTAAAGATGTGTGCCACCCTGCCAAATTTTCACAGGAACTTTCTCAGGGTAGTAAGAGTCAGCCTTACTGTCTTGCTTCCTGACTTTAAAAAGACAGGGAAAAATGAAGTACAGAAACCTGCTCCAGCCCTGCGGTGGTGGCACACACCTTTAATCCCAGCACTTGGGAGGCAGAGGCAGGCAGATCTCTGTGAGTTCGAGGCCAGCCTGGACTACAAGAGCTAGTTCCAGGACAGGCACCAAAAAGCTACAGAGAAACCCTGTCTCGAAAAATCAAAAAAGGAAACCTGCTCCGACCAAGCCTGTTGTAGCCTCTGCCTCTACACAGAACAAACCGGAACTGCCCCTTAACACTTCTTAGACACTTCACCTAGCTGCCCCCAGCCAAGATACAATAAATTACAAGCTATATTCTTATGGGTGACACAAAACGAGGCAAGACTTAGCCATGGCATGGTAGGCGTTTTATGTGGTCCTAAGCACATCTGAATTCATTTTTAACATCCTTAAAAATAATAGCTATACATGAAAATCATGGTCCAAAGCTTTTGCAGGGAAGGGGAGGTGTAGAAATTATAAAAAATATTTTACACGCCTTTAATCCCAGCACTCGGGAGGCAGAGGCAGGCGGATCTCTGTGAGTTCGAGGCCAGCCTGGTCTACAAAGGGAGTTCCAGGACAGGCTCCAAAGCTACAGAAAAACCCTGTCTCAAAAAAAAAAAAATTAAAGATAGAGGACAGGTCTGAGAGCTCACACTTTTAAACCCAGTACTTGGGAAGCAGAGGCAGCAGGATCTCTCTGTGAGTTCAGGATCAGCCTGGCTGACATAATGAGTTCCAGGATGGCCAGGGCTACATAATGAGATCCTTTCTCATAATTATTAAATAAATAAATAAATAAGTAAATAAATAAATAAGGGCTTGAGATACACACCCATAATCCTAGCACTTGGAAAACTGAGGCAGGAAGATTCAGAGTTTATAGTCACTAGTGAGGAACCTACTCATTTTGCTAAATGATCGTGTTACAAATTTTGTGTATTGTTGGTTTTCCAAGCAGGGTTTCTCTGTGTAGTCTCAGAGTTTATCCTGGACTCGCTCTGTAGATCAGGCTGTACTCACACCCAGAGTTCCACCTGCCTCTGCCTCCCGAGTGCTGGAATTAAAGGCGTGCGCCACTACCACACTTTAATTAACACAACCGCAAGTGTTAGGGGGCAGTTCCGGTTTGTTCTGTGCAGATGCAGAGGCTGCAACAGGGCTGATTGGAGCAGGCTTCCATACTTAAACATGGAAATGGGAGGGTCGTGGAGGGGTTGCACAGCTCACAATCTTCATAATGTGCAGGCCTAGGAAAGGCCGTCTTCATTTTTCCCTGTCTTTTCAAGGATTATTTTTATAATCATATGTTTGTGCTGCTTTCAACCTATCAAAGGTACTTCTTTTTTTTTTTGTTTCTTTTTATTTATTTATTTATTAAAGATTTCTGCCTCCTCCCCGCCTCCCATTTCCCTCCCTCTCCCCCAATTAACTCCCCCTCCCTCTTCAGCCCGAAGAGCAGTCAGGGTTCCCTGCCCTGTGGGAAGTCCAAGCGTGGGATAAAACCAGACTCGCTGAACAGAGCAGACAATGAGGACTCCTAAAAAGTCAAGGACAATGGCACTGGGTTTTTGATCCTACTGCACGTACTGGCTTTTTGGGAGCCTAGGCTGGTTGGATGCTCACCTTACTAGACCTGGACGGAGGTGGGAGGTCCTTGGACTTCCCTCAAAGGTACTTCTTTTGCAGCAGACAGTAGTTAATGGAGAGACTTACAATTAGTCAAGGTACTGAGTGCTTGTGAGGCCCAATTCTCCAAGGGACATCTACACCAACAAACCCCTCCAAGGCTCAGGAACACCATGGAGGAAGACTGCAAAAGAGTGTAAAATCCTGCCAGGCAGTAGTGAAACATTCCTCTAATCCCAGAGCTCGGGAAGCAGAGGTGGATCTGCAGGTTCAAGGATAGACTAATCTATACAGGGTGAGTTTCAGGACAGCCAGGAATGTTTCGCAGAGAAACCCTGTCTCAAAAAACAAAACAAAGGCCGGGAGGTGGTGGCACATGCCTTTAATCCCATCACTCAGGAGGCAGAGGCAGGTGGATCTCTGTGAGTTTGAGGACAGCCTGATGTTCAAGAGCTAGTTCCAGGACAACCAGATCTACTCCACAGAGAAACCCTGTCTTGAAAAAACAAAACAAAAAAAAAATCAAACCAAACAAAAGAATGTAAAATACCAAGGAAGTATGTTGTGAGTGCTTCTTCCAGCTGTTACACTCATGAACTCACACTTCAAAGTAGATTTGATTCATTATAAAACAACCACACAGGCTGGGCGGTGGTGGCGCACGCCTTTAATCCCAGCACTCGGGAGGCAGAGGCAGGCGGATCTCTGTGAGTTCGAGGCCAGCCTGGTCTACAAGAGCTAATTCCAGGACAGGAACCAAAAGCTATGGAGAAACCCTGTCTCGAAAATCCAAAAAAAAAAAAAAAAAGAATAAAAAAAAAAAAACCACAGCAGACCTGTGTGAGATCAAGTCAGCATAGGAAGGAAGACAATACTAATCTTCCAATTTCATTTTTCAAGGCAATCCTTTCTCCCCTTCCCTTGTTATATATCTGATCTCTCAGCAGACTGTTCCACCTTTAAAATGGACAACATTTTCAATCCTAAAATCAATACCTGGAAGTCTTCCTACTTTGTCCTTGCCATAGCTATCACCAGCATCAAACCATCACGGTTCCTATCCTGCGTAATGCCAATAACTTTTAATTTGTTGCTGTTATTTGGAGACAGGGTTTGTCCCTGTAGCCCTGGGTGTCCCGGAACTTGCTCTGCAGACCAGGCTGGTCTCAAAGAGATCCCCCTGCCTCTCACAACACCCATGTCAGTCTATGGACTAAAGGCATCCACAACCATTCATGGCCTAAATCTTTTATCTTATGTTGTATGGGTGTTTTGCCTGCTTGTGTATCTGTGTACCATGCTTGTGACATGCCTGTAAAGGTCAGAAAAGGATGTCAAATCCTCTAGAACTGGAGTTCCAAAGGCATGAGCTGGGTGGGTGCTGGGCATTGAGCCTAGCTCCTTTAGAAGAGCAGCCTGTGCTCTTAAACCATTTCTCCAGTCTTGGAGGGGCTTACATCCTTCAAGTTCCTGCTTCCAAATGTCCCTCATAATAAGTTATTTTCTGTCTAAGCTGTGTCAAATTGAAAGAAGAAAAATGACATGTTAACAATGCCTGATGTCAGCTTTCCCATGATTCTTTGCTTCATTTCCCAAATGGCCCACAAAAGGGCATATCCTCGTGAAAAGCTGCAGAGATCTGACTTACTTCGATCACATACACTGTGCACTTGCACTCTTGTGCCAGATTTTCCTTGGTTGTGAAATCTGGATAACGGTCCTGTTCAA